TATCTTTCTCTTAGATTTGTCCATATTCTTGAGTGTTTGAAACTTAAAAAATACTTCATGTAGAGTAAGAGGTTAAGATAATAGTTTATTTTCTATATATGCATAAGGCAGTATTCCTGGCACCACGTCCTACGTAGTCTATGACTCCTCCACTGATTTATCTCTACGATTTGTTAAATACTCACAAAATACAGATCTGTTTCTGGGTTATCTACTTGTTCCAATGATACACTACTGTATTTTAGCACACTTTAAAGACAATTATATATTTGTAATATGTCTTTCTATTTGGTAGAAAATGTTTTGACTTTGCCTTTCTTTTTCAAAGTTGTCTTAGCTATCTGTGTATCATTATCACTCTGTTTATATATAACTTTATCTATCTATATCTTTGTCCAGTTGTGCCCTCAAAAACTTCATATGAGGATTTTAGCTAGAATGGTATTGGACTTAAAGATAAATATAGGAGATATTGACTTTTTTCCAATTTATCCACACCCTTTTAAATAGTAATTTTCTGAGTTTTTTTTTATATTTTACTAGGACACATTGGCAGTACATTAAGTTTACACTTATCTTAGGGTGTAGCTACATGTATATAATACATCTTGATTCCTTTTTATTCCATTTTTCCTCCCCAACCACCTCCTCTGATTCTAACTTTCCTTTTCCCATTTCATTATTATTATTACTATCTTTAGTTTATGTTTATGATATATAAAATTTACATTCCTTGTGAGTATTTGGTACATATACATGACATTTATACAACATTAAATAAAAATGTTTGTCAACATAATATATATCTCCATGTACTCAGATCATTATAATGGTTGTATTAGTTACTTTTCTTTCATTGCTGAGACAAAATACCTGACACCCAAAGTTAAAGGGGGAAAGTTTTATTTAGCTTATAGTTATAGAGGTTTTAGTCATAACCAGCTGGCTCCAAGTCAGGGTGGCAGAGAGGCAACAGTTCATGGTGGCAGAAGACAGCAAAAGCAACAAGGGGCCTTAATAGGCTCTGTCAGCCCCATTTATTTTTATCCAGACTTCTTAGGGCAGGTAGCACTTACATCTTTAATCCTAGTGCCCTCAAGTCTAGCCCCACCATGAATTAATCACACACTCTGGATTCAGCTACCTTTGCAAAAGCATGAGGCTTTGGGGGAACATGTAAACAGAAGCCATAACAGTGGTCTTTGACTATAATCTTAAATTCTCTTATGAAATATTTAAGATGTATTAATTTAAAGACCTTAATAAAATATTTGTGAATACACTTTAGTTATCTATCAAATAATAACATTTTATAAGGTCTGTTTTCAGAGGGATACTTAAATTTTGTTTGGCTTTGTTTTTTGTTTTTTGTTTTTTTTTTTTTTTTTACTGGGGATCAAACTCAGGAACATGAACTTGTGAGGTTGGTGGTGGCACCACTGAGTCCTATATTTAAAATATTTAATAACCTATTGGTGGTGGTGAACCTATGGCACATGTATTATTTGTTTTTCTTTTAAGACAAAAGATGTTAATGTATGAATTGTTTTTTCAAACAAATACCTGAGTATTCAGGTTTAACTGCAGTGTTGGCACTTGGCAATAAAGAAGTGGGTTTTGGATTTCAGTTTAGACACTCATCTCTAAAAGATGAGTAGGTTATCACTGAATATGTTTTCTGATTCTATCAGCTTAATACTACCAAGGTCTGCTTTATTCTTATTTTTTTAAGCACATAGTTTATTCAAAATATATCTGTGGAACCCTTTTTAAAATCCATTTTCCATTCTCTCCCTGTTCATATATTATAGTATTATGATATGTGTATACACCCATAATTACTGTACAGCATAATTTTGCATGTTTTCAAATTACATATAAATGGCATCAGACTGAAAATATTAGTTGATAAATATCAATTTTGATGCTCATTTTAATTATTCTATATTATCCCATTAAATTAATATGCCATAATTTAGTTATAAAATTTCTTTGAATTTGGAGTTTTCTAATTTTGTTCTATTACATATTATTTCTCAATAAATATTGAGTTTTTGTAGCTCTTAAATACATGTTTCTCTGGAATACTACATATTATTCTAATTTTGGGTTGGTAGGTTATATTTACTTTTCATTTTATTGGAAATCATAGTTGGACAAAAGTATGCATACCTTCATGAATACTGAATGAGAGTGGCTAAAGTTTGATGCTCTTGCTAATACTATGCTATTGTCAATTTTTTATATTTTTGTTTTTTTTAACTTTCACTATTTTGATAGAGAAAATGGTCCCTTATTGTCTAGTAATTGCATTTGCATAATACATGCTTATTCATTTTCATTCTGGTCAGTCTCAAAGTCAGTTGATTTCTTCTATGCAGCAAAATTTTGGAAGATTCCTAAAGTAGCCAATGCCCTCTTATGCTCTTATATTTTCTAATTGTTTCCTATGCTATCGTCTTATAAAACATCAGTGCTTCATCCTGATATACAGGCGATTCAATTGGTATAATTGTTCCCTCTTTCTCTTTTGTTTTTTTTTGCCAGAATTGGCATACATGAAGACTCCTGCTCATAGACTTCCATAGAATCCTGAGAAAATAAGTTTTGTTTTTATTTTTAATTGACAAGTAGTTATTGTACACATTTATGGTGCACAAAAGTATACTTTGATATATGTATACATTGTGGAATGGCTAAATCAACCTATTTGCCATATTTATCAACTCATATACTCATTTTTTGTTGAGAATACTTCAAATCTACTTACTTAAAAATTTTAAGAATATAAGTGTTTTAACTATAATCAGGGACAGCTTAACTTCTTCCTTTTTAACTTGGAAGCCTTTTATTTTTTCTCTTGTTTAATTGTTCTGGCTTGAACTTCCAATACTAAATTGAATGGAAGTGAGTGAATAGAATAGACAACTTTTCTTATTCATGATCTTAGCAGAAAAGCTGTCCACTTTTAGTATGATGTTAGTTGTGAACCAGTCACATATAGCCTTTATTACATTGAAGTACATTTCTTCTACACCTAATTTGTTAAGCATTTTTTGTCATGTATCATTGTTGAAATTTTGTCAAATGACTTTTCTGTACCTATGGGATGTTCGTATGATTTTTACCCTCATTCTGTTAATGCAGTACATTGCACCTAGTGATTTGTATATGGTAAATCATCCTTTCATTCCAGAGATAAATCCAATTTGGTCAAATTGTATAGTCTTTTTGATGTGACGTTGCATTTAGTTTGTAAGTGTGTTTTGAGGATATTTGCATCTATGTCATCAGAGATTTGGGCCAATAATTTTCTTTTGTAATGTCCTTGTCTGACTTTGGTATCAGTGTAATGTTGCCCTTGTAAAATGAGTCTAGAAATGCTTCCTCCTCTTCAATTTTTTAGAGGTTGGAAAGGACTGATATTAGCTCTTTAAAGGTTTGCTAGAATTAATCAGTGAAATAGTCGTAAACTGGATGCTTCTTTGGTGGGAGACTTTTTATTACTGATTCATTACACTTCTTTGTTATTAGTTTGTTCAAATTTTCTGTTTTTCAGACTCAGCCTGGGTAGGTGGCATGCACCTAGGGCTGTATCCATTTCTTCTTTGTTTCCAATTTCTTAGCTTATAGTTGTTCTTAGTATTTTCATATAATTTTTTATATTTCTGTGCTAGTGATTATAATGTCTATTTTTATTTCTGATTTTAAATCCTCTCACTTTTTAGTTGATCTAGATGTTTGTTGTTTTTTAAAATAATTTCAATGAATCAAATCTCAGTTTTATTGTTCTTTTATATTGTTTTTCTAGTCTCTATTTCATTTATTTTTTTCTTTGATGTTTTATTTTTTTTTACTTCTGTTTTTAGTTTCTTGAGATATGCAATTAGGTTATTTGGGATCTTTCTTCTTTTTGATAAAACCGTATATTGCTATACACTTTCTTTTTAGAATTGCTTTTGCTGCAGGCTATGAGTTTTGGTATATTAGATGTGTTTGTTTGCCTCAGGATATTTTAATTTTCCTTTTAATTTTTTGACCTAATTGTTGTTTGTATGTCCTTTAATTGCTATGTGTTTGTGAATTTTTTAAAATTCCTCTAGTTAAATGGATTTCCAGTTTAATTCTATCATGGTTGGAAAAGATGCTTGACATAATTTCAGTCTTCTTAAATTTGTTAAGACTTGTTTGTGGCACAACTAGTGACCTGTCCTGTAGAATGTTCTATTTGCTCTTGAGAAGAATGTGTATTCTGCAGGTTCTGGATGGCATGTTCTGTAGATGCCTGTTAGATCTGTTTGGTCTAAAGTATAGCTCAAGTTAGATGTTTCCTTATTGATTTTCTTTCTGAATGACCTGTGCATTGTTGAAAGCTGAGTACTGAAGCATTCTACTATTATTACATTGTAGCTCATCTCTTCTTTCAGATCCATTAATATTTACTTCATATATTTAGGTGATCTGATATTTGGTGCATTTTTCACTATTTATCTATCTGCAATTGTTATAGCTTCCTGATGAATTGATTTTTTTTATCTTTATATAATGACTTTCTTTTCTCTAGTTTTTTACTTAAAGTCTATTTTATGTGTCAGTTACCTCTACTGTCCTTTGAATGAGTGAATAAATGAATGACATAAATTGTTTTCTCACTCAGCAATGCACTGTCACAAAAGACAGCCTAAATACTTACATAGTACATCAGTAAAGAAGGAACCTGGCCTCCAATATTTTTCCAATATGGTTTAAAAGCATCAATATAGTCATTGTAGGATAAAAACCTTTTGTTTACTTTCTTACATTTACTGCTTTTATTCTGATAACTTTTAATGTGAGAGCATCCTATCTTTTAATGTTTAGAGCCTCTAAATGGTTGTATTTGAGAGACAGAAATGAATATGATCTAGTCTTCTGTCCTCAGACACATGGCGTAATACTCCATGTAATTAGTGTTGGAATAGAGGGGGATATAAGGACTAGTGTGGGACCTTGGAGGAGTACATTCCTTCTAGAAGGAACAGGGATACAGGATGGAGACTAGGGAAACCAAATAGAGAATAGAAGCGTGATTGCTGAAGAAGAGGCAATAGACAGTATAAGGAACCTGTGTTGAGAACGGAAAGTTACAAGTAGGGAAGGAAAGGAGGCCGACCGGCAGGGACCCAGACCCCCTCCGGAGGCGGAAAGAGGCAGGACCACTTCCGGCCAAGGAGGGGGGATTGACTCAGACCTAAGGAGAGGCTTGGAGAGAGCGGACGCATTCTGGACTCCAGAGGACGAGGTGAGTTGAGGTACCCATGAAAATCCTGTTAGGGCCTCTGTGCTGCGGCTTCGAGGTGCCTGACTTCCTACTCCTTTAAGGTTTGAAGAAACCCTGTTAGGAGTTCGGGATCTAAGCGCATCGAAGTGATCGTGTTTAAAGATGCCTGGACCTGATTCTCATGGGAGGAAGAAGGGGGCGGAATCCTCTTTGAGCCACAGAAAAGAAAATTCTGGATGCGGTTCGGGCAATAGAGAGGAGCGATGCGGACCTAGTTGGGATTATAAGGAGGAAGGATCTAGAAATCATTTAGGCGGTAGCAAGAAGGGAGGAAGACACAGGTCAGGAGAAAGATAAGAGACAGCGGGATCCCGTACTGGCTGGAGAACGGGTATGGACTACAGAAAGGTTTGGGCTGCAGAAAAGAGGGATTAGGACCGACGAAGGAGGGAACAGAATCTTTTTTAAGCGGCTGAAAAGAGCCAGGCTCAAAATGGAGAAGGGGTTGGAACCGGTTGGTTCTGGTTTGAGAAAAAAGGTAGAACCTGGTAGGGTTCGAGAAAGGGAATAACTGAGAAGGTTAATACCGTTGGATTTGGGGACGAGGTATTCATGTTGCAGATAGGGCGGGGCCGGGCACTTGCAGACGTGGAATGAAGGGGGAAGCTGTGTTGGGGAAGGGGCGGTGCAGAGACGTACCGCAGAGCGGAGGGAGGGGGCTTATTAAGGGAAGGGGAGGTGCGGAAAAGTACTGCAGAGCAGAGGGAGGGGGCATATAGGAAAGAGGCACAGCGTGGCTGTACTGCGAAGGAGAGGGTGGGCGGTGTTGGGGAAGGGGCGGTGCGAAGCGGTACTGCAGAGAGGAGGGAGGGGGCCGGTGTTGGGGTAAGGGTTGGACCTAGAAGTGATGCAGTTATCAAGAGGGACGGGGGTGGGACCTAGATGCCCTGTTGCTCTGAGAGCCGGAGGCGTAAGTGAGAGAGTTGGTTAGACTAGTCAGTCCAGTGAAGCGCATGCGCATTGAAGACCTTGAAGAAAGGATTCATTTGGGAAAGCGGGGGGGGGGGCGCTTGTTCGGTGCGCATGCGCACTGCTAGGTTGCGGTAGGGGGCGTGTGTAGATGCCGAACTGACTTGCCATCTTGGGAGCAAAAGGAGCTGGTGCTTAGAAAATAGATTGCCCTGGTTTCTATGCACAAGAACCCAGGAGTTGAAAGGTTTGGGGCCCTTTAAGGTTAGGGGAGACCCTCGCTTTTCAGATTAGGCAAGATATCTGGTGAATCTTCCCCTCCCTGTCATTCTCCCCTAACTAAGCTTGTTTCCTTCAGGCTCATCTGTTACTTGGCCTCTCAGGAAGATGGATAGAAGAAATGGCTATGGTTATAGGATGCCTGCATTCCAGGTGAGGCCTCTGTGCATTTTCATTAGGCAATCTGACCTGTCCTGAGTTTTTTATTTACTGCTTTTGACTCTCAGACTAACCTGTCTCAGTCATACATTGTATGATGGAGTGGGAGGAGTAGAAAATTTGCTTGACTCTGTCCTCTGCTCACTTCTCTTTTCTCTACCTTCTTCAATTAAATACTGTTCAAAAAAAGGGGAGGCCTTCGTGGGAAGGGGGTGTGGGGAGGGAGGTAAGATGGTCCAGAGAATCATAATCCTAAGTATGTAGGGCCCTCTGCCTCCCTCTGGGAGTCTGGGGCTTCCCTTCCCTCTAGATGTACAGACTGAGACCAAAGAAGAGGACAATGCCTTGCTGATGCATTCCCTGTTGGCGGCAACCAAGGACCCACCTGTTGCCAACCGGCCTAAGAAAAGCAAGACCAAGAAGACTCCTGTTAAGGCTGTTGCTAAGTCCACACCTGCTGTCCCTCCAGTCCCACCTGCCACTGAGATTGCCACCAAGCCCAAAATAACTTTGCAAGCTTTAAACCTACCAATCTTCGCCCAGATGAGCCAGGGTTCAGCTACTACTGAGGCAGCCAATATTCAGGCTTCTTCGGGTCCTGCTCTACCTAAGAAAGCAAACAAGATGAAGAGAATTACTGCCAAGGCAGCTGTAGTCTCCCAGTGTTGTCTGTCAGGCAATGAGGGTGTCACTGCCCAGCTCAAGTCACCTTTGCAGGCCCCAAACCTGCCAGTCATCTCACAGACTATCCAGGCTCCAATTGCTAGTGAGTCAGCCAATTCCCTGGCCTTTATAGCCTCCACCAAGCCTAAGAAAACTCCCAAGTCTAAGAAGGCTGCTAATAAGGCTATAGGCAGTGCTAATGAGATCTCATTGGCTATAGCTTCTACCCAAGGCCAAATTACCAATGAGACAGTCAATATCCAGGCCACAGCAGCCACCATCAGAACGAAGAAAGCGTCCAAAGCCAAGAGGACTACTGCTAAGGCCACAAATACTGACATAGAGCATCTTGAGTCTCCAAATGTCACTGAGACAGCTACCAGGCAGATTGAGACTTCAGCAGCAGCTCTCCGGCCCAAAAAACCCAAGGGCAAGAAGGTTGCAAGTAAGGGCCCAAATTCTGGCTTTGAGGTCTCTGAGGTCCCACCTGCCACTCAAATGATTACAAACCAAGCCCTAGCAGCCACTCTTCGGGCCAAGAGGGGGTCTAGGGCTCGAAAGGCTGCCACAAAGGCTCAGGTAACTGAAAGCCAAACCCAAATTACTGACCAAGGAAGTCAGGCCAAGATGGCCACCTCTCACATTAGCATAAATGCCCTGGAGACTCAGGTTGCTACTGCTGTCCAAGCCCTGGCAGATGACTATCTAGCTCAACTGAGCCTGGAACCCACAGCTAGGACCCGAGGCAAGAGAAACAGAAAGGTGAGATCTCTGACAATGTCCTGAACTTTTATGCTTTTCTATTCCTATCTGTCTGGGTTTTTTATTTCTTCTTTAAACCTTTACTGAGCCTTTTACTTTGAGCTATTGCCTATGTTCAGATAGACTTTGGGAGATGTCAAGAAAAATGTGATATAGTTTGTTTCCAGAATTTCATAGACTGCTGGCGGGGGGCATCTGTGTACTTAGCTTCAACCTATATATAATTTACCTTGTACTTACATAGGATTTATCATATGCCAGGCTTGTTGGGTACATTTATACATGTTATCCTTTTATATCTTGAAAGTATTTCTTACTAACTAGAGACCATAGGTTCCAGTCTTGAAGGCAGACTACCAGAGAAGTGATCTGATATGCCCAAGGGTTATAGCTAGCAGAATTCAGTGGTACCCAAGGAAGAGGAAGAGTCCCAGACTCTGCCCTTGGATTGCTCCTGCCTAGCAGGGGAATGAAACTCCTGTTTGGAAGATAGTGAAAGAAAAGCCCAGGACACAGAATGGCCAATGGTAGGGTCAAGACCCATTACAGGGAGGGTTGAAGGGACTTTCTGGAGGACAGGATGAGGAAACAACAATCATTTTCACCTGGTGACTCTGGACCTTCCTTCTTTATCATGATGAAGTGCAAACATCTGAATGGGGATGAGAGAAGTGGCATTAATTACAGGAGGATCCCATGGGGCCGAAGGCTTCCACCACCCCGAGATGTGGCCATTTTGCAAGAAAGGGTAAGAATCCAATACTGACCAGTCTCTTTTCTGCTCTTGCTGTCTTCTCTTCTGTCCTTCCAGATTTTCTGCAAATATATTGATTTCCTCTTCTATTCCACTCCTCCCAGGCAAATAAGTTGGTGAAATACCTCTTGGTTAAGGACCAGACAAAGATCCCCATCAAGCGTTCAGGTAGTCTCTTAACAACCTTCCTCCTCAAGCTCTTCCTTCTCCTCTCTCCCTATGGCCTGGAGGTAACCCTTTACCTGTATGGCCTTTCTGTTTTATCATATTTCCATCCCTTCCCTTCTTATACTTCACTATTGCTAGCAGCACTCATTAATCTAGTTGCACTGACTCCACAGAGCTGGCAAAAGGGCCACAGCTCTGTGGCCCCTGCTCAGCCCAGCTGCTCCCACCTCTCACTTCCTGCAGAAATGCTGAAAGATGTCATTCAAGAATATGATGAATATTTCCCAGAGATCATTGAAAGAGCAAGCTACGCTCTGGAGAAGGTAAAGAGGCACCTTGGGGGATGGGTCCTTTAATGGAACAAAGGTGAGCAATGTCCTTTGTGGGGGGAACAACAGAGATCTGCTAGTACAGCTCCATCGCTGTGCAGATAGGCAGACAGTGGCCTAGGGAGAGTCCTAGAACAGCCATGGGTTACGCAGTATCTCAGTGGTAAAAGAGTAACTAGGACCCAAGCCACCCAACTTAGTCCTGGCTTCTTTCTGCTGCTGGACACATTCTGTCATGTGCTTCAAATGATCATTTATTTATCTCCTTAGTACATTTGTTGCATATTCATTGTGTTCTGGACAGTTACAAGCTTTTTATGCATTACCTCATTAATGTTTCACATATGCAAAACCCCCAGGTACATGGGGAGCTTCAAGATGCCTGGAAAGCTGTTTGATGTTTAAGCTGAATTTTGTGATCTCACAAGCTGTTCTTTTACTTGGCAGATGTTTCGGGTCAATCTGAAGGAAATTGATAAGCAGAGTAGCTTGTATATTCTCATCAGTACTCAGGAGTCCTCTGCAGGCATACTGGGAACGTAAGCCGGGAAAGGGTTAGGGTGGAAGGGGGACTTTTGCTTTCATCAGTAGTACTACTCTTCCCCTGACCTCTCAACTGACAACCTCATAGAGAGTTAACAAAGACAGGGTCTAAAAAGCTCCTGACATAGCCTTGCACATGGCTGGAGCCCCATGTGCACTAATGGTGCCTCATGATTAACTGAAGGGTGCAGGAGGTTGGGGTGGGACATTTCTGTTGTTAGTTTAGCTGTCCAGAAGCTTCCCTGGAGAGCAGACCTCTTATTACCTATCTCTTACTGAGCATCTACCCTAACCTTGATAGAGACATTCTTAAAGGACAGTTTCTCAGGGGAAGGTGTGGTGTCATTATACTCAAGGGGCAAGAAAGGCCTGCTTCTACATAAATATTTGTGTAGTGCTTACTCCCTACTACCTGTGGAGAGTTAGAAAAGGAAAAATAGTATCCTTGAATATGCAGGATTACCTAATCTAACTAGGAAAGCTAGACTCAACCCTAAGAGATAAACCAGTCAAAGCAAAGAATGACCAAGAATAAAGTCATGGCTGACACTTGAAGTGAGATTGGCAGAATGACTATGGGCTCACATCAAAGAGACATACCATAGCTGCATCTCCTTACTGTATAAATAGGGATATTATCAAGGGATCTTGGAACTTACCCAATTTATAACAAGTGTTATCACTGGGGCATTGAAAAATCACAGGGCTGAGGGCTCTGAGAAAGGGTTCACACTGATTGAGTACTTACATTGTACCAGATTGACAGTCATTTTTCCATCTTGGCAACCCAGGGCTTGGGTAGAATGGAAACTGTGCCTCATCACTCTTAAGTGCCTTACGTGGGGTCATGTGGAACTGGAAGCATAGATTAGGCAGAATTCTCCCACATCTGAGGTATGAAGGAAAGATTAGCCCACTGAACTGTCTAGTATGTCTTGTGGGTGACTCCTGGACATAAACTTTCTTTCTGTCCTATTATTCCCTTAGGACCAAGGACACACCCAAACTGGGTCTCCTCATGGTGATTCTGAGTGTCATCTTTATGAATGGAAACAAGGCCAGTGAAGGTGAGTGGCTAGTCATGAAGCCAAATGGGTAGCCAGGATCTGAATTCCATGTGTTCATTTTGTCCCTGTCTCCTCTTGCCTCCCCTTGCAGCTGTCATCTGGGAGGTGCTACGCAAGTTGGGGCTGCACCCTGGGTATGATTGGGCTCTCTCAGCACTTGCTGTCCATGTTGTCCTTTGACAAGAGAGAATGGTTCCAGGACTGGTGGTCTGGTGGTGCAGGCGGGGATTGCTGGGCTGGGTGGATGGGGAAATGGTTCTAAACTCTGTGCCCTTTTTTTCCCTGTTCTCTGTTCTGAGATGTAAAAAAAAAAAGACCTTCAGGAGTCCCTGACAAAGAGCCATCTAGCCTCCACTGCTTGCTTCTAGAGGCTATGTGCTCCCTATGTTCTTCACTTTGTCGAGACTCCCCATGTGCTAGGTCTCTTCCATGTTATGAACATGTCTGTCTTGTGTTCATGGCTTATCTTTCCCATTGCCAGGGTGAGGCATTCACTTTTTGGAGAAGTGAGAAAACTCATCACAGACGAGTTCGTGAAGCAGAAGTAAGTGATGTTTGGAGGCTTTATCTGGTCCTGAAGTATTCTGGCAATGCTGGTTTGGTTCAGAAAGTGCTCCATCAGTGCCTTTCTTACACTGTCTTTAGGCATGGGCATCTTGTGTCCTACTAAGTCCTGTCTAAACTTCCTGTGGATGGACCTGTGCAGAACTGGGCCAGATCAAACCATGCCCTTGTGATGGGGTGTGCTCAGAGCAGACAGCTATATGAATGGCTCCTCTGTTTAAAACACATCCAAGAGGAATCTGGGTTTACTCCTCACAGGTGGCAAGATACACTGGCCTTCCTGTGACATCATACCCTATATATGTACTCCAAGTAACTGCTTTTCACACAGCCATTGGGAAATGGTGCAGTGTGAAAAGCCAAGAACATGAACTATGTGCGAAGAATGAGTATGGGCTGGAATGTCTTGGAAAATATTCTCCAGGAACTGTTTAGTATTTGTTTTATAGGAGGATGCCATTTGGGGCTTAGTGGTTAAATAACAGATCTGTTGGGTCAGGAGGAATTTTTTTTTTCTCCAAGGTACTTGGAATACAAGAGGGTCCCCAACAGCAGACCACCTGAATATGAGTTCTTCTGGGGCCTGCGCTCTTACCATGAGACTAGCAAGATGAAAGTCCTCAAGTTTGCTTGCAAGGTAATAAAGCTGCCTGAGCTTGACATATTAAGGGAATAGAATGACCTTGGCTGACGCAGGCTGTGTGTAGTGACAGACAAGTATAGGGCAACTGGTAGTTCACACACACACACACACACACACACACACACACACACACACACGAAGCTTTAGTAATGTCCCAGAATGCCGGGACATACATACATAGTTTCCATGATATCATTCATTCTTCACACTCGTATTAACATGTTCCCACTGGCTTGAACCACTGGTTGTACATGCATGACTATCTCATGCATGATTGTATCACCTCGATCACCAGTGGGACAAGCTGTCCAATGGGACAGTCATGCATCAAACTGCCCAGCAGTGAGATATATGAATAATGGCCCTGTCATGAATGTGTTAATCATCTCAGGCTACCATAACAAAATACCATACACTTGTTGGCTTAAAAAACAGAAATTTATTTTTTCACAGTTCTGGATGCTGAGAATCCCAGATCAAGGACCACCATGGTAGGTTTCTGATGATAGGTTGTGGTGAAGGCTGTCTTCCTGGCTTATAGACAACTGCCTTCTTACTGTGTTATCATCGGGCAGGAAGCCCTTACTCTCTGAAATCCTATTGGGTCAATCCTTATTCTTATGACTTTATTTAACTGTAAGTACTTCCATTAAGGCCCTATCTCCAAATACAATCACATTAGGGGTTGGATATTCAACCTATGAATTTCATAGAGACACAATCAGGCTATAACATACTTTATCTCTTTAATTTTTATTATTACATGTTTGTAGTACATGTGATTACATTCATCATGGGGAGCTGGTAACATGTATATAAAACATCTTACCACCGCCTGTATTATGAAGATATTTGGGTTTAGTGACATTAAGTGACTTATCCAAGGTCATCACATGTAAGTTACCAGAGCTGAAATTAGATCTGAGGACTGATCTATGACAAAGTCCCAATTAGACTTTCTTTTAGAATTATTGCTATTAATAAGTGCTTCATACATAATTAAAAGGGTTATTTTTCTTATAATGAATATAATTTCCAATTCAGGTACAGAAGAAAGACCCCAAGGACTGGGCTGCTCAGTATCGGGAAGCAGTGGAGATGGAAGTCCAAGCTGCAGCTGTAGCTGTGGCTGAAGCTGAGGCCAGGGCTGAGGCAAGAGCCCAAATGGGGATTGGAGAGGAAGCTGTGGCTGGGCCCTGGAACTGGGATGACATGGATATTGACTGCCTAACAAGGGAAGAATTAGGTGATGACACTCAGGCCTGGAACAGATTTTCATTTGAAATTGAGGCTAGAGCCCAAGAAAATGCAGATGACACCACCAATGTCAACTTCAACCAAGAATCTAGCACCAATGATAGCTTCAATGATGGTGCTAGTATTAGCTTCAATGGTGCACCCAGCTCCAGTGGTGGCTTTGGTGGCGGAGGTGGTATTACCTTTGGTGATACACCCAGCACTAGTGCAAGCTTCAGCAGTGTAGCCAGCATTAGCTTTGGTGGCACACCTAGTACCAGCACCAGCTTCAGCAGCATAGCCAGCATTAGTTTTGGTAGTGCTCCCAGCACTAGCACTAGTTTCAGTGGTGGAGCCAGTATCAACTTTGATGGCACACCCAATACCAGTGCCAGTTTCTATAGCACAGCCAGCATTAGCTTTGGTGGTACACCCAGTACTATTACTAGTTTCAGTGGTGGAGCCAGCATTAGCTTTGGTGGTGCACCAAGTACCAGCACTAGTTTCAGCAGTACAGCCAGCATTAGCTTTGGTGGTACACCCAGCCCTAGCACCAGTTTCAATGGTGGAGCTAGCATCAGCTTTGGTGGTGCACCCAACATTAGCACCAATTTCAGTGGTGGAGCAAGCATTAGCTTTGACGGTGCACCGAACACCAGCACTAGTTTCAGTGGTGGAGCGAGCATTAGTTTTGGTGGTGCAGCTTGTACCAATGGCAGTTTCAGTGCTGGAGCCAGCTCTAGCTTTGGAGGCACACTCAACAGCATAACAACTGGCTTCAGTGGTGCACTTAGCACCAGCACTAGCTTTGGCAGTGCATCCACCACAAGCACTGTCTTCAGTGGTGCACTTAACACCAGCACTGGCTTTGGAGGTACACTTAGCACCAGTGTCTGCTTTGGTGGCTCTCCCACATCTGGCTCCAGTTTTGGAGGCACACTCAGTACCAGTATCTGCTTTGGTGGCTGTCCTAGCACCAGCATTGGTTTTGGCTCTGCAAGCACCAGCATACTTAGCACCAGTGTCTCCTTTGGTGGCTCCTCTAGTACCAGTTCTGACTTTGGAGGCACACTAAGCACCAGTGTCTGCTTTGGTGGCTCTCCCAGCACTAGTGCCAGCTTTGGTGGTGCACTAAATAGCAGTGCTGGCTTTGGTGGTGCAATCAGCACCAGTGCTGGCTTTGGTGATGCTGTCAACACCAGTGCCAGCTTCGGCAGTACACTTAATAGCAGTGCTGGCTTTGGCAGTGCCATTAGCACTGGTGCCAGCTTTAGCGGTGCATTCAGTAGCAATGCTGGCTTTAGCAGTGCCATCAACACCAGTGCTGGCTTTGATGGTGCTGTCAGTACTTGTACTGGGTTTGGCAGTGCACTCAATAGCAGTGCTAGCTTTGGCAGTGTCATCAGCACCAGTGCAAGCTTTGGTGGTACACTCAACAGCAGTTCTGGCTTTGGCAGTGCACTTAGTACCAGTGCTGGCTTTGGCAATGCTCACAACACTAGTGCCAGCTTTGACGGTGTGCTCAACACCAGTGCTGGCTTTGATGGAGCTGTAAGCACCACTGCTGGCTTCAGTGGTGTACAAAGCACCAATCCCGGCTTTGGCAGTGCATTCAGCACCAGTGCTGGCTTCAGTGGGACACTTAGTACCACTACTGATTTTGGTGGTACTCCCAGCAGCAACATTGGCTTTGATAATGCTCCCAGTACCAGTGTCAGCTTTGATGGTGCTCACAGCACCAGCCTGTGTTTTGGTGGAGCTCCCAGCACCAGCCTCTGCTTTGGCAGTGCATCTAACACAAACTTATGCTTTGGTGGCTCTCCTAGCACCGGTGCCTGCTTTAGTGGTGCTACCAGTGCCAGTTTTAGTGATGGACCAAGCACTAGTGCCGATTTCAGTTTTGGCAATGGGTTAAGCACCAGTGCTGGATTTGGAGGGGGACTGAGCACCAATGCCGGCTTTGGTGGCAGCCTAAGCACTAACACTGGCTTCGGTGGCAGCCTAGGAACCAGCACTGACTTCAGTGGCGGACTAAGCACCAGCACTGGCTTTGGTGGTGGACTAAGTACCAGTGCTGGCTTCGGTGGAGGACTAGGTACCAGTGCTGACTTTGGTGGTGGACTAGGCACTGTTGCTGGCTTTGGTGGCAGACTAGGCACCGGTGCTGGCTTCGGTGGTGGACTAGGCACCAGCACTGGCTTTGGTGGTGGACTGGTCTCTACTGATGGCTTTGGTGGTGGACTGGGTACCAGTGCTGCTTTTGGCAGCACACTTGGCACTTGTACAGGCTTTAGTGGTAGCCTCAGCACCAGCGATGCCTTTGGCAATGGGCCTAATGCCAGCTTCGACAGAGGACTGAGTTCCATCATTGGCTTTGGCAGTGGTTCCAACACCAGCACTGGCTTTCCTGGCGAACCCAGCACTGGCACCAGCTTCAGTAGTGGACCGAGTTCTATTGTTGGCTTCAGTGGTGGACCAAGCACTAGTGCTGGCTTCTGCAGTGAACCAAGCACTGGTGGCTATGGTGGTGGACTGAGCACTGGAGCTAGCTTTGGTGGATCAAGCACTGGAGCTGGCTTTGGTGTTGGACTGAGTACCAGTATTGGCTTCAGTGGCGGACCAAGCAGCAGTGCTAACTTCGGTGGTGGATTGAACACCAGTGCAGGATTCAGCGGTGGACCAAGTACCAGTTCTGGATTCGGCGGTGGACCAAGCACTGGTGCTGGCTTTGGTGGGGGAGCCACTAGCCTTGGTGCCTGTGGCTTCTCTTACAGCTAGTAAGGTTTCAGGTAATTGCAATATTTCCATAGCCAATAATATTGGGAGATATTAAAAGTAATGCTGGGTTGAGAGGGCTGAGTGGGAAGATGAGCAATGAAGGAAGTATGAGAAAAGAATATATTTGGTGCTAAAATGTGTTCTGGTTTGGTATTTTGTTTTCAGGTTTAATGTTTACAGATATCACTAGTGAACTGCAGCATTCCTTCCCACGGAGCCAAGGTACAGGCTTGGAATCTTTGTCCACACCGCAGTCTGGACAGCCACTACCCATCAGCTGAGGGTGACACACTACAAAAAATCTGTTTTCTGTTCTTGCTCTATCGTTTGCTTTTTGTGTGCTGTCATATTTTGGTATCAGAGTTACATTAAATTTGCAAAATGAATTGGAGTTTTTTTTTGTCTTTTAAGGTGTTTAGGTAGTCATGAATGACATTTTGGGTTCATAGGACAGCTTGAGATCAGCATAGCTCTTTGGAGAATGTGGGATTCCAGCTTGAGGCTACAAAGCAGATACTTCTTCAGTGGAAGAGAGGCCTGGGAACACATAGCAGGCCAGGGCATAACAGCTTAGGAAATCCTGGGACAGAAATCAAAAGGAGAGAGTTCTGGATGGTAAGTATAGATTCACTGAGTAATTTGTGTAAGAATAGAGAAACATAAGGGGAGATATTGAGGTGCACATGGGAAAAAGGGAGGGTTTTCTTGGGATCAGAAAGACTTGAACATACTGCATAGACCCTGGGGCCAAAGCCAATAGAGAGGGCCAAGAGGTAAATATAGAAGAGTGAGGATTGACTGATATAGTCTGAGAATATGGGATGGGGTAGGATGGCAGAGAATAGAGGGTGACCCTGGCTTTCAACAGAATTTCAGAGTGGTGGCTGGGAAATATAGATCTACTTCAAGCACTCATCTGCAAACATGTGGTAGATCCCAACAAAAAAAAGAGGTGTGGATTGTTCAAGGTTTGGATCTTGCTGGGTAGCTGTGAAGAAAGGACAAGAGAACAAACACAGCAAGTGTTCAAGTCTTTCTACCACTGGGTCACTGGTACCTGACCTATAGTTGATTCGAGGAGAGTGGCTAAAGAGGGGATTCTTCATAGAATCCAAACTGGTTAGGGATGGAAGAGCACTGAGGAAGCAGAGGATGGACTGGGAGACAATGAAGAAGTCAAAGGACCACACTCTTGATGTTGTAAAAGAAAAAATACCGTTCATTCAAGAAATAACATATGAATACCATTGTAAGAACTCTTGAATAAGTGGGATGCTTGCATTTAAGAAGTCAGACCAGGGATAAGATGCCAAGATCTGTGATGTGACAGAGATGATGATTATAGAGTTGAGGTTAGGGGACTGGGAGGCCAGGTGGTTGGTTGGATCATTCACACAGACAGGGGAATCATACAGGATAGCAACAACAGTTGAAAGAGAACTGGTACAAGTTACTGATTATTTTGAGTATAAAGATGGTGTCCTGCCCTCGTTCCCTCTGCCAAGGAATCAATCTCCCCCATCTTTAAAGGTGCTATCCTAGGACTCTTCTCTCCAGAAATTCCTCATCCATTCCACATTTATAGCACCAGAGCTAGGTCAAGATCAGGATCAGGATCTTGAAAACAAGGGGATAAACCTAAATATGACCTCTTCCTGTCCTTCTATAGGTAGTGTAAGAGAAGTCTTTTGATCAGAGAATAGGAATTAAAGTGTTTCATACAGAGGTAGGTAGCTTCTTATTTGTGGCTAAAAAATGAGACCTGTCTTGGAGCTGTTATGGATTTCTTTACTAGAGATAGGGCTTTCGAGTAAGGCATAGTCCAGAGTCTTCTCAGGGTTGGAGAAAACAAAGCTCATAAAGGTGTAAGAGTGAAAACGAGGGATTTTTATACTTGAAAGAGCTCAGTAATGGGCAGGGACAGTGTCCAGGGCTTCCTCAGGTTCCCGGGTGATGTCCACATTCTGAGAAAAGAGAGCCCTTAATTAATAGGAGATAGAAGTATAGGGCTCCAATCCCTCTACTGGCTCTTGTCCTATCAGGCACGCATCTATTAGTCAGCCTGGGTCCTAACTTCTCAGGCAGGCCTGGGGGAATATGAGCCTGAGGCCTTTTGGGCAAGGGTTGTCCCCTAATTCTGTGGCTCTGTGGCCCCCCAGGACTAGGCTGTGTTTCCTGGATTTGATTTCTGGATGCTGGTTATTCCTCCCCGTGATGTGAAACACCTGGTATCTGTAGGGTTAGGTGGCCTTTCTGTGGGGGAGGGTGCTTTTATCATGTCTTCACAGCCAGCTTATGTACAGAGTCCCTTACCTACCTCAGGCTTCTCCCGGTGTGTGTTCACAGCTTCCACATTCAGGTAGATGGACTCCACTTTGCAGCCTCAGAAAAGAACAACACATGTGTCTGTAAGCACCCAAGGTAAGCACAGATCTTTCCTGAAATATCTTTCCCATAGCACTCCCAATCACCATCCACACCCCAAGTTCCATGTTGTGCACAGATTGTGACTGCTCTGTAGGGAGGGGATTGCAGGTGAGCTGTGTAATGTGTAGGGAAGATGCCAGGCTTAAGAAGCAGCCAATGGGGTATCCTCCCAGCTCTGCACCTGACTTCTCTGAGATTAAGCTGCTAATTTGTAAATGGGGAAACAGATGAGATGATCTCTGGCCTCCCTCAACTTTTGTGGCCTGCAAGACAGTGATCTAATTTAAAACTGATAGAGCTCTGTAGATCCTCCAAGCCATGCTAGGTGCAGAAGAAATGGAAGAGTCCTGGGCCACTGCCTTGACCAATGAGGCATGGGCTGAATGTATTTAGAGGACAGTAGGGTTCCAGCAACATGAAAGGTGTGGAAGCCACAAAGGAGTTCTAAGGAGCCTTAAGAAGGAGAATGTATCATTGGGATCTGGGGCTGGCAGAGGAGACCCAATGCTTATGGAAACCCCTTTAGATCCATCCCTGTGGATTGTACCCAGTACAGGCTACAGTAGGCCATTATGCCCTAGTTATACCTCAGACTAGATTTGATTCTGTTCTTTCTCTTCTATGAACCTTTCATAACTGATGTCACAAGAGAATCTAAACTGCCTAGATTGGTCTTTTCAGCTTTTCAGTGGTCCCAATCTATAATTTTCCTCCAGTTTCATTCAAGGCTCTCTCTTCCTCCATAGCTTAATGTTCTGTACTCAGTGCCCTGGCAGAGATAAAAAGTTGGAGCCGGGGCAGCTGGCAATCCTAGTTCTTCTCTGTCATCCTACTGCCACCAGTCCCACTTCCACCATCCAACCGCCTACCCAGGGAACCTCTCTTAGGCCTCTGCTTGGCAAATGGCATGTTCATGGCCTCTATATGTAGTTCCTTAGATGAGGGTGGGGGGTACTCACCATAAGCCACAGGAGTGAGTTTAAGCACTGTGTGCAGAGGGCACTTAAGATAGGGCAGCTCATCTGGAAAAGAGGAAGAAACAGCCCTTAAAGTCATAGTACTGGGAAGGGTACCACTTCCCCAGCTTCCGGTTTTGGTGGATACTCTCCTTTCCACCTCCCTTCCCCAAGTGGGCCTCATTAGAGTCCTACCTGTAATCTGCAAGGGGCAGTGTTAAAAGGCAGGGAGAAATGAAGCAGCCAGGTTAACCCAGGATCAGGAAGAAAAGGTCTTGAGAAAGGTGGGAAAACTGTAGGTCTATGGGAGTCAGGGAGGTCATGTGGACGTGGTCACCTCCTTATTCTCAGGTCCAACAGGAGACCAAGGCGGGCTTCCCGCCTACCACAGCCCAGGCCTTCCACAGACATCACCACCACCACCATCACTACCACTACCACCACAAAGGCCCCAAAATTCCTGTTAAATGTTCACTGAGAACATTATATGTGTCAGTTCCATGGCAGAAGTGTACATGGCATGTGACCACATTTACAGCCTTGTTCCTGGCCCTGACTAGCTTTATCTAACTCATCTCTCACTTATTCATGGACAAGAATTTTCCAGTTATTTACTGCTATGCAGAAAGTTGTTCTGTTTTGAATATTCATGTACAATTTCCTGTATAGCCCCATTGTTTCGATTTAACAGGTAGTCTTATGAGGAGGGGATGATTAGGCCCAATCCATGGATGAGGAAATTGGGACTTCAAGAGGAAAGACACTGTTTCAAAGTCACATAGCCAAGAAGTGACAGTGCAGGAACTCTTAATACAGGATTTTCTGAAGAAAAGATGCCTGCTTCACCCCTATAGTCTGCAGCTTCTGCCATGAATGTATCATAATGTCCTGCGAGTGACATACTGACCTGCTGGACACTTTCTTCTTATTCCCTCTCTCCACTTCCCAGACTGCAATTATAGCTCCTTATCTCCCTTAATTTAGCTAAAATACCACTTGTGGCTTTCTGTTCTTTATACTCCAGGCCTGTCATCAGCCTTTCAGCCTCCTGAGACATAGGTATTTTTCTAGGCATCCATCCTGCTTCACCTCATCTTTGTCATCATAAGCATCATGAATAGGCCAAGGGCTTCCTGTGTATGATCTCAGTGCATTTTCACAGATATGCTGAGGTCCTGTTTACGCTCACTGTTCACATGAGGAAAGAGACTCAGGGAAAGGAAGGCAACTTTTAAAGATCTCTGACACAGTCCTGTCACTGCCTCAACTAGTAACACTGGCCTAGCCATTTCTCTCAGTGTCACATCTCTTGCTTTTATAGGACAGGACTGAACTAGGTGTACTCTGAGGGTACCCCAGCTCCTTAGTTGTTTGGGTTTACAATGCCACTCATATCATCTCTCTGGATCTCCTGCCATTATTTACCTAAATAATAGGGTAAGATCATCTTCCCAATCTTACTCTGCCTTGCTCCTGGGACAGTTGTGAACAGGTAGCATGGCCTGGGTCTAAAAGTGGGCAGAAATTGGAGAAAGAGGAAGGTACCTTTGCTTTTCCCATAATCTAAGAATAGAATCTGAGGGCTGGGGTGTACCTCAAATCTACTCTGATCCCTTGCACTCTGAGCCCCATGACTTTGAGTAAGTCACTTAACTTCTCTGGCCCTTATTTTTTTTTTCATCTAGACAATAGGAATTTCAGTGCCTACCTCATGGTCTCAAAAAAATTGCTCTGAGAAGTAGAGATGTGAACATACCAGAAATCTGGCAGTGCAAAGAACCCTACATCATCACTAATTCCCAATGAGGAAATGAAGGCACAGTAGAGAAAATGACTTATCCAATGGCATCTTCTCAATTTCCCTGGGTTCCAGTTCTGGATAACTCCATATTATGAGTGCTCTTTATTTTGAAACTAGCATCATAAAGAAGACCCAAGAGTTCAGAATATTATAGGCACCGAATATCATATTGCATTGTCCTCAAATACCTTAAAAATAACCT